ATGCTAAGGAAGTAATCATCCCTGGTTCTTTCATTGCTGTTTGAAGCTCCAGACTCAGCTCCTGTAACCAGTCAGGACACATCTATACCAGGCATCTAAAAAAATCAGCTCCTGCAACGTGTCAGGTACTCATTTTTCTGTTTTGCAGGTATGCAGGATCTCGCTAAGGAATCTCCTACGCGATCAACATCCAGATGGCATCTATAAGCCCATCATCCGATCCAGCAAACATCCAGATGGCATCTATAAGCCCATCCCCATCATTGCTAACATGTGAGCGCAAATTTCCGGGCACTCTAGTGTCCAATCATCTTTTACCTTCGGATTACGAAAGGCACGTCAGCCAATCTACATCCTCAGGTCTAAGAAGATTGAACAGGGGAAACTGTTATACCCCAAAATTTGCCCTCCCATATTCTTCAAGAAATTGCCAAGCCAGGTCACAAAATTCCCCAAGGGTTGTGCAGGTCAACTGTCTCCTATACAGTCAAAACTAGGGTTTGAGTTCTGGTCAGGCAAATGAACTTTTCAAAGGCCCAATCAAGTCTCATATGCTTACAAACATGGTCAAGCATCCTCATATCAAGTTTCAAGGCATTCAGCTCAAGATTGCACAGTCAAAACCCTAAATTGCACTACAGTCAACTGTAGGGGCAAAATGGTCATTTGGCAGTCAAAAGTTCAAAATTTTGGTCAATACATCATTTTGAAGCCACAAACATCATTTGATCAATGCTTGATCATGATTCTCAAAATTTGGCTCAGAAATCATCAAAGATGCAAAAGTTGCTATATTTGGACAGTTGAAAAAGTCAACTGAAGTTGACCAGGGCATAACTTTCACATGGATTATCAGAAAAATTCCATCCAAAGCTCATTTTGAAGAGAAAGACATTTCCTACAACTCATCTTCATACTTCAAGTCCAAGAAATGCTCTCACAAAAAGTTATCAATTTCAACATTACAGGTCATTTTCAAAAGTCAACAAAAAGGGACTTTAAGTCAAAGACCATAACTTGAGATTGGTAAATCAAAATAACATGGGACCAAAGGCATTGGTTAAAGGACTCAAAGACCTTTCCAAAATGTCCAAGAACATGTGAAAAGCTTAAAAATTGAGCAAGTTATGCCTTGTAGAAGTTGGGAAATTTTTGTGAAATGGCAAAAGTCAACTATCCTTGAAAATCCAATTTTTGACAAAAGGGCCCCATTTTTTCCACTTGGTCCATCCTTGTCATGCCACACACGTGGCCCATGATTAGTTTCAAGACCAAATATTGATTTTTTTATTTTATTTAATTTTTGATGATTTAATTCATTTTAATTCTTTGGAAATTCAAATAAAATTTAAAAACCAATGGAATAGTGTTATGTGAACTTGGACAATTTCTATGTATCATGAACCTACTCAAGAAATCAGGCTAGGGTTCATTTGCACACTAGGTCTAGGTTTTGGCTAAAAAGGAGGAAAAATGGTTAAGAGTGAAAACCCTAAGACTTGTTCTTTCCTAAGCTTGAATCTAGGTCAAAAAACAAACCAATTCCATTCCATGATCATCATTGAGTCCAACCCTAACCATAACTCAGCAAAAGGCTCGCTCAAAAGTGGATTGGCAATTTGAAAATTTGGCATAAAAACACAATTCTGAAATCACTATAAGAGAGAGTTTTAAGCCTCAATTTTTTCCCCATTAGCATCTTGGACAATCACTGAACACATCCCAACCCTTAACCTCAATCAAAACGCGAAGAAACGGTAGTTACCACTCAAACTGTACAGAAGAATTTTTGAAATCGTACTCTCCATTTTAAGCATCTTCATTGCATTTCAACTGTACATTCTTGTTCCATGTGAAGTTTCTAAGCTAACCATAATTGTTAATTGCATTTTCGTGCACTTTTGGCCAAATTACCATGTTTGGTTTTTAGGGTTTCCAGCTTCTTGAATTGGGGCTTTTACAACGAAGCAAAATTAGGATTCCAAACTGTGACCATTGGATTAAGCAGGTTGAGACGAAGAATAAACACTACTCGCGCCCAATTTATTGGTCTTATAATGCTAATCGCTATTTTCCTAAAGGTGACTTTAACCCACGCGTGAAAACTGTGGCCATAGTGTTTTATGTTTCAGGGCACACGAGGAAGAAGAAGGCGTGGCGAAGCGTGATTCGTTCATTTGAATTTCGCGCGCCCTCCACTAACTTTTCTATTTTTTCTTTTTATTATTTACGTGCCATAATATATTAAATGAAACATAAGTGGTCCAGTGGCGGAGGGAAACGCTTGCAATGCTTATGACCTGGGTTCGAATCCCAGGCCTTGTAAAATTCCATATTATTTTTCAAAACAAGATTCTGTGCTTTGCTAATGTCCAGGTGCACCATAGGCCATCATGATCCAAACGCATACGTGTCCCAGATGATCATCTAAGGGCTCAGAATCAAGGAATACCATGAGGACAAGTCAACAGGCGTGCACGTGGCTTAGAAAGTCAACAAATTGCCAGCAAATGGGCCAGGCTTTTCAAATCCACACCCCCCTGGTTTGCTTTATCATTTTTATTTTTATTCTTTCTTTTATTTCTTATACTTGCTATTTATTTAATTAATTAGTTTATTTTTCTACAAAACATAAAAAACATTCAAAAAAAATCAGAAAACTCAAAAATTTTAATAATTATTTTATTTTAAATATTGTTTTTTTTTTGTATAAATAATAACATGTAAAATGTTTAGTTTAATTAAGTTTTCAACTTTAATCCTTTTAATAAAAATCCAAAAAAACTAGAATTTAGGTTTAATGACTTTTATTTTCTTTTTTTCTTTTTTCCCTTTTTTCAGAATAATAATGTTATTTATTTATTTTCATAAATTAAAAAGTGTATATAAATTAATTTAGAATTAAATTAGGTTAGAAATTAAATCTTTTCCTTAAAAACTTAAAAAAATAATAGAACTAGGGTTTAATATTTAATTCAATTTCAATTAATTTTTCTTTTTTCTTTTAAATCTAAAAAACCCAAAAATACAATTTTTCATTTTAATTTTAGATAACTTAATTATTTTAATTCCTTTAAAGGGTTCAACGCCCTCGCATTTGATTATTTTCTTTTTTCGCGCGTTTCATTTATTTCTTTTGTGAATATAATGTACTTGTACCAAAGCCATGTAATAGCTATTAGACCTTTCTTTTCTGCAATTTATTTTAAAATGGGTCTGGATTAATTTGGCGTTGTAGACCCTCGCCTTTGTAATAGCGTAGGACTTTTATCTTTTCCGCACTTTAAATTCCCGCACTTTTAACTGTTAAACAATAACATGAAAGAATGAATGCCCAAAAATAAAATCGAATCGTTAGATCACCAATGCATGACAAGACAAACAATAAACTGAAAATGACACACAATTCGCACACACCACCCCTAGGGTACGCCTCACTGTTGCCTTTCGAAAGGTGGTCGTCGAGTATAGGACGTTTTAGTAAGTCCTTATGTCCATGACATGATCCAGTTGCCTCGAAACGGTTGCCTCGGAAAATAAAGGATCAATGGCATAAGGGTAGCTTCTAAGGTGTCCTACTGTTGCTCTGGTGACCACCACGTCCCTAAAACTCGAATTGACCCGAACACCTCCAATGGTGGCGCTACCTACCTCTCAATGGTGGGATAGCACCACTTTCAAGGACTCTTACACAGACAAATTCCTTAGGGTAGGTAGGTTCTCAAGGATACTTGCTCTAATTTCAAACAAATCAAAACATCTTTTCACACCGACACACTTTCAAAACAAACTTTTCAAACACTCTGACGTACGAGTTGAATTGAAACTTTTCAAAGAATATTTTTGAAACCCACATTGAAAAGCAAGCAAACATTGTTGAAAACACAATGAGCAAGTATCTAAGAGCCCATGGATAACCATGGATAGAAAGGGTGCTAACACCTTCCCTTTCTATAACCTACCTCCCGAACCGAGAGCAATCTCTTTAAAGGAATTTTTCTGTGCTTTTGTCCTTTCCTATTGGAGAAAATAAAAGACGGTGGCGACTCTTGCTTCCGCGACATTTCGCGAACCAGCTTTAAAACAGTCAGTTCCAGATCCACCGATCACACCTTCGTGTCAGGAACATGATCGAATATCCTTCTTTCACATCAAGATCTCTCGCATGTTTCACATGACTATAGGATGTGGAGCTGAAATTGTTATGATATATGGACATGGGCTATGATACTTACGACGATCCATAAAATCGTTTACACGTAAAACATTCCAAAGGTAATTCTAATAGGAGAATTACATTCAAAAGACAACGTTAAAATTCCACTAGAGAGAATAACTCTAAAAATCAGAGATAGGCTCAATCCCGGAAATTAGAGACTATAAATATTATATCTCTTTGAAAATATGAGATTATTACACTACTTCTCAATTAAAGAAAAAACAATTGAAGCTTTTGTTTTTACTAGTTCGAACTATTATCTTAAGCATCTCGCATTTTCGGACCTTATGTTTAGGGATTGTGAACCATTATAGACTTTTATCTCAACTTATTATCTTAAACATCTCTTTCTCATAGGCCTCGTAGCAGGGGTTGGGGACCATTATAGATTTTTATCTCGACTTATTATTTTAAGCATTTCACCTTTTTACAGACATTATGTTTGAGGGGCTATCGAGTGACACATTTTTACCATTAACTCGGCCTATAACATTCAAGACCTATAGGCCCAATATCCGGTCAGAATAACCTATGATTTGAGTTGTGTCTAAGGGATTAAGTTGTATATAGGCTTTTAGACTTGCCTATGGTTGGATAAAATAGTATGGATTACTATTTAAATTTATTAAGTATCTGTGTAAACTGCAGCCATGATAAGGTGTTACACTTTCAATCCTATAACTGTTAATGGTTTTAGTATGATACTGCAAGCCATTGAAGATTCATGTAATTTTACATTAGTTTCTTTATTTACAAAAAATCCAAGATGACAATTATACCATCAACACCATAATTCTTTTTCTTTGACAACATAACTGTTTTTTTCGCGTTCTTTAAAATCAAGTGTCCATTTCTCAAACGAACAATTGGAAAAATCATAATATCCACCATGAATAGAGACCAATTCCTTCCTCACTCTATCTTCTATCCCTGGATAACTTAGCAAGTTTAACAAAGATTGGTTAATAGATTCCTGCAACAAATTCAAACAAACTGTTATTACCTTTCCAAAATAACCACACTTTCTAGAATGAAATATGATGGTTAGTACCTTCTCACAGAATTTACATTGTTGATCAAAGCTAAGATGAGACGTCGCAGCTTTGGTCTTCAATTTGGCAACTTTCCCATTAGCAACCCAATTGTGTATGAAGCTTCTAAATGTTCAATGAACTCAAATTAGAACTAGAGGTGTAACATAACCGGCCGTTATAATGTTGAAAATTGTGTGTAAGAAATACCTCGGTTCTGTATCGTCTTGCATGTTCATCAGAGCTTCAATCCCAGCACAACTACTATGACCAATGACTAATATATTTTCAACCTAAAATTTTCGAGAATCACGTAGTTGTATATGCTATAATTAAGCACTTAAATAAGTTGTTTATCCAAACAAAGCCTTAGTGTGTACCTACCTGAAGAGTAGATACTGCGAATTCAAGCGCAGCATTACACTCTGATGCTCCATTCTGTCCTCCAACAGAAGAAAATAAATGATTAAGGAAAAAATAAAAATCGAAAAAAAATAATCAAAAGCAGTAATGGAAATACCTTCATGATAGGAACAAGATTGGCGATGTTACGTATCATAAAGACTTCACCGGGTTGAAATCCTAATACGTTAGAGGGACATACTCTTGAATCTGCACAAGCAATTACCATAAACTGTTCTTGGATTTATCAGTTAAAAGAACAATATAATGATTTAGTATAGCATAAGAGATAAAGGAACCTTGGAAATAATCACCTTTGGATATTGAGCTTTAGCAAGAGATTGAAAATGCTCCAATTCTTTTCTGTCTAATACAAAAAATTAGCTTAGAAGATTGAACAATTTTTCGCAAAATTTGAAACTAGGAAAAATGTGCAACTCAAGTCTTACATGTATTTTTGGTTCTTGAAATTTAAGAACCTTTGTTTCATCAAACCAAATAAATTCATGTAGCCATTAATTTCAGCCATATTCTCATAACCATGATCCTCTTGTTGTTTCTCCCTGTGGTAAATGAAGGAATATGATTTAGGAGTCATGTTATTTAGACATGAAAATATCCGATATCGTATAAAATATACAGAATAATAGGTCGTTTTTCACTAGGCAAAAACCATATGCAACTTGCAAAGAGTTCATTATGGATTTCTTGTCATATACCATAACCATCTTCAAGTTGCAAAACTTGCTGTGATATTTACCTAGCTTAGAGCCAATAAGTCAATTTTTAAGGACTATTTTATTTTATTTTTGATTTTTTTCAGAAAATTTGTCCTCTAATGTGAAAATATCTAACAAAATTTAAAAAGAAAAAAAAATTAGAAATTTAATATACTAACAATTTAATTTGTTATGCGTGCGCATATAATATCAATCATCGTTTCAGTTATCAATAATTTATATTACTTATATACACAATTTTAAACGTGTAACGTAATCCATGAATAAGACTAATAAACTGGAGCAAAGAAAACATTTTTCGACAATAAATTAATTCGCATTCTACAATGCAAAATACACGAATTTCAACAAAATCAAAATACAAACTTGTACCATATACTCAAACTTACTTGAATGAAGGTAATGTTGTTGCATGGCAACCGTCAGTTTTTATCCAATTCATCTACAAATTCAGCAAAACAATATCAGAATTCAAAACAAGCACTGCAAAAGAAGCATGAAAGGAAAATAAAATGATAAAAATGAAGAAACTAACAAATTTTGGGTAAGGTGCGTTTGATCGAAGAGCTGAACAAATAATTCTTGACCCTGTAATGCATAGTGATTCACGAATTGGCCACACCATTTCTTCAAGAATGCAGATCAGAAATCAAAGCATGTCTTTTAATTATCCTCTTGAACATTATAAAAATGATTATATTGCTTTATGTTATGGGATGAGGAGAATCTCATTGCAAGATGATGACATAGAAGACAACACACGACTCTATTATTATTATTGTATAAATAAACTTATCCTATTGTTGCATTACACGTATATTCCACGTACTTATCCTATTTTGTGGGACTTTCTTTATCATCTTGTTGCTTAGTTATCCAATTTTGTGGGACTTTATGTTTCTTCTTGTTGCCTAGTTAACCTTGAATGTATCTTATCTATATATCGATTTCACTTGAGTCATTTTCATTCTTTGCTACGCAATGATACTTTGACTTAGGTGTGAAAAATGCATGGGTTGGATAAAGTTTTATTTGGAGTAATGGTAGATAAAAATAACACAATCTTTCGATTTCTTTTTAATTCATTAAAAATTCAATTAGGACTTTCATGCTCTCACACTTGTTTAACTCACTCTAAAATTACTTAACTCACACATGAAAGTACAAGTTTCACTGAGACAAATTTAGAGATGTTAAAATGGATCCGGTTCATTGGATTAGTCTATAAATTCAATAATTTAATATGGGTTGAACTGCAAAATATCTTTAAAAATATGGCTCTATCTTTTTTATTTAGCCCATTGACCTATATTTTTTATAGGTTGGACCGGGCCAAGCGGGCTTCGGGTTGACCCATTAAAAAAATTGGTAAATTTTAAGGAAAAAAGATTGAGATAAAATTTGATTGCATAAGTATGTTTTCAAGTGATAAAGAAAAATTGAAGATGAAGATATATTTTCAAGATGATGTGATTAAGGAAATGATTGTGAGATAAAGAGAAAATCTGATATATATATATATATATATATATATATATATATATATATATATATATATATATATATATATATATATATATATATATATATATATATATATATATATATATTCTTGCGTAAGAACAATTAACGAGTAGCTTCTCTATAGGTATAAGGAGAGTCGCAATGGGTAGATTTTTGTAGATAATTTGGGAGCTACGACAGTGATGCGTATTGTCCCAAGATGAATGTCTTACTTATCCCTCTGGCGGGAGCCCCTATTTATAGTTTTCCTTTTGCACCATTAAGAGCCTCAATCAAGGGTGACTCTTGGACTTTATAACTGTATAATTTTTGTCGTCATCATGAAAGAAGGCGTTTAAAGCTATGTAACATTGAGTTTAATGTACTGTCAACCGTTACAACCTTTAATGTGTCAGGTTGTTGGTCGGTTACGAGTAGATGACCTCTGCTTACATGTCATATCCGGGATGGTAGCGTAGACGGGCTCCTATCCGAATATGATGACAATCATTCTCGACCGGAGCTTTATTCGCTATGTACCTTTAGCTGAGTTATATCCCTTCCCGGGCACCCCAATTTTTCGGGATGTACATAAGCCCCCCGAATACAAATTCTTCTACAGGAATGAAGTGTTTGATCACAGAAAGCACGGAAAGTATTAAGGTCTGGACCAGGTTGTAACCCGACCTTACCTTTGCACATGTGTCATAAACTGAAATGTCACACATCTTCTCTCTCATAGTGCAATGATGAATCTTTATTGAGACTTGCTTATTTGGTGACATTTCTTTCCCAAACGCGCTACTTAAGCCCCATTTTTCCTATTTCGTCTCAGCATTTAGCAACATTTCATTTTCCAGAGAAGTCCACACATTACTCAGACGTTCATCATTTCCAGGTATTTTTCCTTTTCTTACTTTGCTTTATTTTTCCTTTCCTTTGTCTTTAACTCTTAGAGAATGGTTATCGTAAGAGAATGTGACGATGAGAGAAATTTAGTGAAACTCGTGAATGCTTAAGAAAGAAAATAACTGAGGAACCAATGCATGCGTGAGATTAAGGGTGTTCTAGGTCAGGAGGAGTTTAATCGAGTCACAAGAGAAGTTTACGGTCTTACTTTATCCTCTTTGGGTGATTCTAAATCTAATTTTTCCTCCTCGGGTTCTATAGAGATCTTAATGGAAACGACTGCCCCTTTCGACGCCAAACTCCAGTCTTTGATGAATGTCTCATTGACAAGAGACGAAAACAATGTTATCCTGAAGTCTCGTGATCCCGAGAACGGGTACGCATACTTCGTCTGAAAGGTTCTGACGAGGAGTTTTTCTATTTATATACTAGGGTATTAGAGGATTTTAAGGTCCGTATACCTTTTTCTGATTTCGAGGTGAACATATTGAAGACCATGAACATCACTCCTTCTTAGCTTCGCCCTAACAGTTGGAATTTCATAAAATCTTTTGAGATAGTTTGTAAGACAATGACTAGCGTCCCTACAGTGGATATGTTCTTCTCCTTCTTTGAGGTAAAAAGAGCTGATAAGTGTTCCTGGATCCAAATTAGTGGTCTTCCCCACAAGAGCTTTCTCCAATTATATACCTCGAATTATAAGGGTTTCAAAGATTGGTTCTTGCGGTTTTAGTGTGGATCGAGATGCCCCCAAGTTTTGTAAACTTTGGACGGGCATCCACACTTTCCCCACTATTGGACTCATGATCCTTCACCTATCTCCGATTTCACTTATGAGAAGCTAAACGGTTTGGAGATCCAAGCTCTGACTGTACTTGATTCCTTCCGAATGATGAAGGTTAAAGATTTGATGCCCTTAACTGTCAAACAGACCCCAGATTTCCTTGGTAATAGTTTTTTCTTCTGATTATCAGTCGTGCTAGATTTTTTGACGATGCTTACATTATCTTTTCGTGTCTTTTATTTGCAGACAAAATGGAAGATCTTTCTGTAGTCGAGAAGAAGAAACTCATGTTGGAGGTCAGAGCTTCCCATAGAGGGGTCAGTGAACCTTCTGCCTCTAAGTCTGATCTTGCTGGGTTAGAAACCCGGTACTTGAAGAGGCGAAAGTTGGTGGGTTCCAAGGCCACTTCGAGTTTGGCCGAGCCGCAAACTTTTACTTCGTCTATTAAGGGGGAGGTCCAACAAGGCTCTCCAAAGAAGCTTAAGACTCTTATGAGTGACGATGCTTGTCGATCTGACTTGGAGGTAACCTTTTTGATAAGGGAACCTGGAGGCGGCTAGGCGTCTAGGGAGTTTAAATTCTGGTCCAACAGCTTTGGTGGTCTTCACTTCCTCTATGGTCATCTCAATACGATCGAGGACGTCAATAAGGTCAAGACCATATGCCAACAGAAGATGAAGTATAACCTCAGTTCCTATCTCATGAGGTGCGCAATTCTGACTTGTGGCCTTTTTGAATCCGACGATGATTATGAGAAAACTGAGTTGAAGCTCAAGGATGAGATAACTCGACTGAAAGAAGATCTAAGGCAATTTACCTTTTATATATTTCACATATAGAGATTTTTCATCTAAGGTAATTTCTCATTCCACCTTAACACATTCTCACGAGTCCTGTGCGAAATTTCTAATATGTCCTCTATTTTCATAGATATATCTCTGGACGCACGCAATCACACTTTTTATTAAATTTAGTTCGGAGATACATATATGGAGTCGTTTTAGAGTGTGTTTGGAGATATATCTCTGAAAAATTCTGGTTCTAGAAGCGAAAACTTATATTTGTTGGTCTTGTACGCCGCATCAATAATGAAGACAATAAAAAATATGTTGAACAACTTAATATTTTCGGGATGAGTATAGAATGTGTCACAAACAATGACTTTATCATCACATATTGTGTACCTAGAAACATAGTGATTTTCATCTAAAAATTTCAAAAGTTGCTGCATTTCGGATCTTGGACCCTTTATTGCCATGTTATTTCGATGACGTGCATTATATACCTGCTTGATATTTGAAACACTTTCTAGGTGTTTCTGTTTTAAATCTACAAGTATATTTTTGGGCGCAACTTTGACTAAAGACATGTTCGAAATAATTTCTTTCTCCCCCGGTTTAAGACGACATACATTAGGATAACCGACTAGCTTTGTTTGCAAGGCATGATTATGTATTCTAGAAAGCACATTAAATTTCCACATCTCATACACACTACAACATTCGTGCAATTTAAACAGACAGCCACAGATTCTCATTTCGGTGTCATCATGTTTCAACTTCCGAATCGGGGAAACATATGTGCCACTTCTCTTGCATCTCATGGGTACAAATGGTTGTCTTCTATTTGAACCATTGTCGAACCTTCTGATTACAATGCCAAACCCCAAATTACTAGCTACTATGTGGACCCATTGAAGCATATGTTCGCGAGCAGTTTACAATTGTTCATTTATGAAACATTGACCAACATCTATCTCGACAAGATTCAGTTTAACATCATCCTTCACTTTTTTCGGTTTAACATCGTCCTTCACTTCAACTGGTTTAACATTATCCTTCGCTACATCATGAATTACATCGTTACGTACGACATCTTTGGGAAACATATTCAGGTGAACCATATCTAAAAAGAATCAAAATAGGAAAATGCTCAAAAACCAGTAACAGGTGAATTCATATATACATATTTGAAATATTATAGGCGAGTTCGGATATGTATATCTGGACAAATCGAACGTTTTTTAGCTCAAACTCAAGATTAATGCAAACAATGAGGGATAAAATGAGGGAACTTTATCTTTAATTGCAATTTATTGTGCTCCCTTTGATGTGCTAAAATGTAAGAAATTTGATTTTGAATCGAAAAGTTAGTTGAAAATGATTTTTTTTCAAGGGTTTTTTGGTTATGGAGGAGTTTGAAGAGTAAGGAAGATGATCATGCAAGCTGGTAATATATTTAAGTTCTCGCATGATTTTTTTCGAATATACGTTCGAAAATATCACTGAGTGGTTAAAAAAATTCTTCTAAATGGAAAAGTGACTTCAGAGATGTATCTGCAAATTTATCCTTTGGTGTATTTGGAGATGCATCTTTGAACTAAATTTAGGTAAAAATAATAGTATTTAGTGCGTTTGGAGATGTATTTTCGAATTCTTCCAATAGTATTTTGAAGTTTTCTGGTGTGCGCTCCATAGTGCAAAGGTGTAATGAGAAATTACCTTCACATAATTTACTTGTTGTGTTATGGGTCAAATGACAACATCAAATTTAACAATTTGCTATAGAAGAATTGAAATAAAAGGGGGTTTGATTGATGTGAATTTGTTCTTAAGTAAATCTTTTTAAATTGGATTATCGACCAATATAACTTTTTATCAATTGAATTTGACTCTTATTTTGTACCTTAAAGTCAGGCGGATTTTCAAAATTGGTAATGATCTAAATATACTAATTAGTAAGCTCAAGTTTCATGAACTGATTTTTAAAATTGATAATGATCTAAATTTACTAATTAATAAGCTCAAGTTTCATGAGCTCATAAAGATACGTGGTAGGAAGATCACTATTCTTTAAAAAAATCTATATAATGCGTAATTGATTTATGTCAATGTAATAAACATGTAAATATGTAATTGGTGAAAATAATTATTATGAAAAAAATAATGAAAAGGTTAATTTTAAAATTGTAAGCATCTTTAATCTAAAAAAACTTTTTATTTCACTCAGCATCAAAGAAGTTATGCATAAAATTGTCTACATGATGTATTTTAATTAGAATTACACATCATCATAATTTAAGTTCAGTTTCTAAATTACACATTAAATTCATTTTAACCACTTTCACCCGTGCTCGAACATTGACTTTACCCTAGACAAAATTAAGAATCGAGTTATTCTTGTTCATCCTGCCTAAAAAGTACCTATGGTTTCGACCGAGTTGAGTTCACTTTTACCTCAAAAAGAACATTATAACCAAATGTGTTTTTGAACACCAAAAGACGTTCAATGTATGAATTGCTAATGTAATTCAAATAATGCTTGGCAATAATGAGAGCATTTCAAATGGTTGGATTGAAATGCCTTAGAAGTGGTAGTGTACTCTTTCATTCGTATTGTACAGAGGAATAAATAAATAAATAAATTGTCAGCACAAATTCCCATTTCTCAATAACAAAGAACAATCAACCTTACTACTCTCACGAGCCCGTTTACGGCCCAACAACAACGGGCCCATTCCAGAATCCACAAAAGCCCGATTCTCCACCACCGCCTTCAAACCCCTCTCCAACGCTTCAACTTCCTTCTCCTCTCTTCCATCATTACCCCACTCCACCACCACCACACTCTTCGTCCTCCCCCCAACCGTCATTATCTCCGCCCGAACCGGTTTCGCCCGAACAGACCGTATCGCCTGTGCCAGATCCCGGTTCAGTCCAGGCCGATCCTCACAACACACCGTCGCTTTCATCCTCCGAACTCCCCCTCCCTCCCCGCCGCAATAACCCACCGTCGCCTCGTCCGATTCCCCCGGAAACGGCCACAACTCAGCTTCCTCAGAAGAAACAACCGAACCCGGTTCTCCACTACACGGCGTAGACGATTCATCATTCCAACGATTCGCCACGTCATCAGCTCCTTTTCGTAACCGTTTCACATGCTGCACCACTTCCGCTAGCAACGACGCCTTATCTGACTGTACACAAGAAAAAAAACTCCCGAATTTACCAATCTACCCTCCATAAAAAAATATATTTCATGCAAAAACTTTAGTACAAAAAACATATGTATTTATTTATTTATTTATTTATTTATGAAGAAGAATATGAAATATTACAATAACCTTGGCGGTGTTAGGGAGGAGAGAACGAAGAGTGGAGAGATGGGTATTGATTCGCTGTCTGCGTCTTCTTTCAGCTTCCCTGTGACTCTTGCATGCTTCTGATGATTTTCTCTCCGACTTCGGTTTCTCGGCGGAGTCTTTATCTATCCAGCTCTCGAACCCGTAGAATCTCCGCATTTCTTCGTCTCAGTACTTGAAAGATGAAGGAGGTGAAGGGAAGAAAGAGATGTACGGACTAGGTGGAAGTAGGGAGGTTAAATGCTTAGGAGAGACTGTATAGCTAGGGAATATGGGAATATGTAAGTATATGTTATCCTTTGTAGTACATATGTGTCTACTAAGAGGGACAAAAGAGACAGTTACTTATGCATACTTTATTTTTTGCAGACAAATAACATCAAAACTTTTATCTATGTTTAGTTTTTGGGATCAAGTATGAAGCTTTATTTTAAACTTTGTTAACCTTTTGGAAATAATTTGACTGTAGGATGGATAGATTGTGTTTTTTTTTTAATATTAATTTGATCACTTTTAGGATATAAGTTGATTGACAAGGACGAATTATAGTTTTTAATTAAGATGTGTTTCTTTTTAACATTAATTTTATTACTTTTAGGATATAAGTTAGACCGAGATTTCCAGCATTCAAAATCTCACGTTGTCACACATTCACATTCACATTGGTAACTATCTGATTAAGATAGAGCAGTTGTGATTTAAAAGTGTGATTTTAAGTTTGGTGTTTCTGAGCCGTGAGAAAAAAATCTAACTATCATTAATACTATGACTGCGGCAGAGGATTCTATTTCTATAAGTTGACTTATAAGTCTGGCTTAATTGGCTTAATTGTTAGTATGTGATATATTTTTAGTGAGAAAAAAATAATAAAGGAAATAAGAATTTGTATTATTGAATTGTATTATGAAAATGTATTATTTATGTACAACTCTAATTGAGTTTAGATCTATACAACTTGTATTATATTTAAATATTAAATCTAATCTAATCTAACATTTTAACAAATCTAATTTAATATTTCAACACACTCTCATAATTCAAGTTGTCGAACATCCCCAAAAATAGTCAATCTGAAGTATTCTTAATTTCTTTCTCAAATTCAAGAATTTGTCAATCTTCAATTCTTTGGTGAAAATGTCGGCCAACTGTGCTTTACTCGAGCAATGTCTTACTTCAAGTTCACCTTGATTTACCTTTTTCCTCAAGAAGTGAAACTATGATTCAATATGTTTACTTCTTCTATGCAGAATTGGATTCTTTGTTAGATTTATGGCAGACTTGTTGTTGATTTGTAATACAAGAGGTTTCTTCACTTCGACCTTCATTTCTTCAAGTACATATCTGATCCAAATTGCTTGACATGCAACATAGGATCCTGCTATATATTCGGCTTCATAAGATGATAATGTCACCATAGGTTGTTTCTTCGAACACCTCGAGCTACTAATCTTGCTTTATGTCTTGCTATCGAGCCATTAGCATTATGTTTCAACTTGAATATCCACTTTACTTCGATAACTTTTGTATGTGCTGACAATTCGACTAACTCCCATGTGTTGCCTCTTTCGATTGCCGGTAACTCTTCGACCATAACTAACATCCATTGTTCAGTCTTCAAAGCTTCACTATAATTAATTGGTTCAACATCTGCAAGTAAAGCAAAATGAACTAATTCTCCATCTGGTGTGACTTCATCATCACCCACCACTTCATAATCATGAAGTCTTGTTGGAAGAACTCTATTTCTTTGAGGTATTTGGCTTATTTCAGCCACAACCTCTTCGACTTCGATTGTGTCGAGAATGTCAGCAACTGCTTCTTCTTCGACTTCGACTGGATTCTCAATAATTCCTCCGACCTCCACTTCATCAGTTTCTTCATCGAAATCAGAAATCATTAATGGCTTGTTAATTGAATTGCTAGAATTCCAATTCCAAGCAGAATTTTCATCAATCACAATATCTCTACTCAACACAATTTTCTTATTAATTAGATTGAATAGCCTGTATGCACCACTTTTATGATATCCTACCAGAATCGTAGGTTCACTTTTGTCATCAAGTTTCCTTCTTCTCGCATCAGGAATATGCTTATAACACATATAGTTAAACACCCTCAAATGATTTACTGATAGTCGTTTTTTACTCCACACTTCTTCAGGAACCTTGTTCTTCAATATCTTAGTAGGACACCTATTCAAAATAAACTGCAGTCGAAACAACTTCTCCATATAAAGACTTTGGCAAATTCTTTTGCTTTAGCATGCATCTCGCCATATCTAATATGGTTATGTTTCTTCTTTCAGCAATTCCATTATATTGAGATGTATAAAGAGAAATTACCTCGTGATCAACACCATGTTCTGCATAGAAATATTCAAACATCTTGGATGTGTATTCGCCACCTCCACCTGTTCGCAGAACTTTGATCTTCTTCTCACTTTGGTTTTCGACAAGTATCTTGAATCTCTTAAAGATTTCGAATACTTTGTCCTTTCGTTTAATCACATAGATCCATAACTTTTGACTAAACTCATCGATAAACGAAACAAAATATTTGTTTCTACCAATTGTGTGTTCTTCGAATGAACCACATACATATGAATGTACCACTTCGAGTATGCAAGATGATCTCATTGGCATAGTCGAAACGAAAGAATTTCTGGATTGCTTTCCTACTAAACAACCTTTACAATGTTTTTCAGGCATCTCAAAACTTGGAATTCCAATAACCATATTGTTGGACCCCAAAATTTGTCCTCCCATCTTTGAGACAAATTGATTCAAGACACGTCCTCATGCTCATAGGAGTCTTAAGTACTCAAGACTTATCAAGGATTGATCAGATAGACTCTCCTCCTAAGCAATTAACCTACAACTAGGGTTTTACTTTTATCAAAGGAAATTGGACTTCTAATGCCTCAAGTGGATTTCATGGGTTCTCATATGTATAAATGTACCCTCATACCAAGTTTCAGGCTTTACATCACAAGTTAGCTCAGTCAATTAGCCAGATGATTAAAAAGTAGTTGTATTGAACAAAAAGCCAACATAGACCAATTGATAATCAAACTTCATCATCTTGGTCAACATCAAGATTTTAAATTCACATTCATCATTTTATCAAGGGTTGACCATGATTCATCAAGAAAACTCAAGATTCATCAAAAGTTACTTAATTAGGGTTTTCTTAAGGAGAAGTCAACTGAACTTTGAGTAAGCACAACTTTTGCATACTTCGTCAGAAATTCCTCAACCAAATATTAGTTTGAAGGAAATTCAATTCTCTACAACTTTGTCTCTATAATCCTAAGGCCAAAAATGCTTCATTTAAGAGATATGAGCCAAAACATTACAGGTCATTTTAAAAGTTAACAAAAAGACATTTTTTGTCAAAGCAATTTACATGAAGATAAAGGCTTCAAATGAAAAAAATGACCAACATGAAAGTTGTAGGATTCATATTGAGGATTCTAAAAAGTTAAGATCTTCTTCATATGACAAAAATTGAGAGAGATATGATTGATGCAAGTTGAGAAATTTTGAGAAAATGTATGAAGTCCACTTTGAGCGAAGTTGAATTTTTGGGCTAATGGGCCTAAATTTTTAGGTTCAAACGTGTCCATAACCTTATAAAAGACCTCTAAATCCATTCACATATTTTTATGATTTTTTACTCTTTTATTTGGATTTTATTCATTTAAATGAAAATTAAATCAAATAAAATATGAAAGCATTGGACTTAGGCGTGTGAACTTTTATTTTGATCAAATTTGAAGCCCAAAAAACACACGACAAACATGCCAAAACCGTGTATGGCATATTTGGAAGGCAAATCTTCAATTTTGGAAAGATTTTAAACACAATATGGAAACAAATCATGCAAACCTTAATTCCATGAGATTTTGACCTAGAATGCTTGGCCTATAAATACACAACAACTTCATATGGCAAAGGATATGCATGCTGCAGCTATAGACAAACCCTAAAGCTCACAAATTTTCTTAAAACTAGGGCACGGTCAAACCCTTATCTCCAACCTTTCTCAATCGATTTCAAGCATCACACTAGCCTCCTGAAGGTCCCAGGAGTTCATACCAACCATTACTCAAGCTTGAAGCATGCCATAAATCTCTCCCTCAACATCATCAGTTTTGGTAACTTTATTAATCTCAAACTTTTAATTCGTGCATTGTTGAATGGTTTGATGCATACATATATGTTCATGATGATGTTTTGAACTATTTAGATCCATTACTTGTGAGATATAGCGCATGAATCGAATTTCACCATTGCTAGGGAACAAAGCTCTCAAAGCTTCGAATCTACAGCTGTAGGCTGTTTCAGGCCAAACTAATCACACAATTGAACTCGCAGCCTCTTAATTATCCAATCTAGGCACTTTATTTTGTTATTCGGTGTTGATTTCGCAGGATTCATGTTTAGCACCATCGGAGAAGATCGTTGTAACCATCACCCACAGTGGTTTAACCGACCATTTAAATCTATGACCTAGGCGTGGCACTACATAATTGATTGATTCAAATAAAAACCTGACCCCATACCAAGCGCGTGTTTGTTTTATTTAGTTTATGATTTAATTTCATTATTTGTTTATTGATGGTAGCGATATGAACGCGAAAAACCAACGTCCCAGTGGTAAGAGTAATGGTCATTATGCGTGAGATTTGAGCCAGCCCTTGTGCAAAGTTTCTTTTATTTTTCAGGGAAAAATACAAGGTTAACATAGCGCTAGCCATTCAACAACACAAACGCAGCGCTAGCCAGGTGGAAAGAATGTTCACTAGTGACCTCAACGGGGTGGGTTCAAGTCCCACCACATGCATTTGGTTTTTTGTTTTCCTTATTTTTCTAACCCTAGTTTTCATTCCATTTTGATTAATGTAGCCATTAACCTTTAATCAACATTAACCAATTAGGTTTAGAATTGATTTTCACTTAATTAGACTTTTATATTTTTTATTAATTCAAATTAATTAGAATTAGGTTTTTAATTATTATTATTAACACCTGAATTAATTTCTAAAAATATCAAAAATATTAATTTAGATTTTAGGTCTTAAAAATATTTTTCTAACATTCTATTATTTATCTTTTGGTATTTATTTTCTTAGACAAAATGTATAGGTTTGCACTCTC